ATAGAGGTAAATTTTTGGGGCCGGAGCTGGTCGTATCTCGAAAAATTCTTAAGTAGGGGCGTTCGTAAGTAGAGGTACCACTGTATTTGCCTTTTATTTCATTGTTTCTGTGCCCTTTTGTATTTTGCTTATTCTGAAGCCTTAATTTTTATCACATAGTGTTAGCTCCATTACGTAGAGTAGACCAGAAAAATCAACACCACAGGAAGAAGACTAGAACTATATTGAGGTGGGCTGTAATAATAGAATCTGGCCAGCTTAATTGTGCTTTCCCTCCCCTCCTTTTTATACTCCAGTGAATCAGGGAAGTGTTTGCCTGAGCCACTTCTGAATATTATTTTTCTTCCCAGGTCTTAAAGAATGTTTGTTTCCTCTTTGCCTAGGTAATGGTTCTTGTGTATTTCTCTTTACACATAGCAAAGATACCCCAGGAGTGTGAGTAGACATGTGCAGGATATTTGACTAATGAAAGCTAATTGTTTGGATATTTGTTATACAAGCAGGTAGATTGTCCCATAATATTCAGCAAAAGGTAACAGCATTTTTAAAACTACAATATTGGTCAGGGTGAACAAAGCTTTTTATATCTTGAAATTCGTGTCTTTGTGTACCAATTTTCATTTGCACTGAAAGAGTCGTGGAACTAGTTTCTAAAGATAGCCGATAACTCCCCCCGTGAGATTCATGGGGTAGGGGCTAGACAGGCCTTTTTTGTGGCAGCCCCCACTTCATGGAACTCTCTCCCCCGGAGGCATGAGCAATCCCTCTCTTGTGAATATTCTGTAAGCATGCCAGGTGCATTGTTTTAGCAAACCGTTGGCCCACAGCGGTCCAGAGCAATGTTCATCATTCATATTTAAGGCTTGGGTTTTATGATTATGTATGTTTCTTTTGTGTATTGCTAGAATCATGTGCACCTAGAATCATGTCATAGGGCCGGGCTATTTGTGGGACTGCCTGCTTCCCACTGCCTCTGCTCACCCTCTCAGATCTAGAGGGGGGGTATGATTTGGGTCCCTTCTATTAAAAATGTCCTCTTGTTGGACCCAGGAGCTGTGCCTTCTCTGTTACAGGGCCTGCCCTGTGAAACCACATCCCTCTGGAGATTTAGATGGTCCTGATCCTGTCAGCCTTTTGCAAGGCACTAAAGACATGGCTATTCCCCTAAGGGTTTGGGCCAGAAGCTCAATGCAAACTCTGGTAACAGATGTTCTTTTTATTGTAAGTTTGGAATCTGTCGTTTGCAACCCTGGGCATTTATTATTTGGATTGTTCTAATTTTTTATTCTAACTTTGTACGCTGCCCAGAGTAACTGCTGTCAGATGGGCAGTTATATAAATCATTGAAATAGATAAAATAAATAAAATTCTCTGGGATTAGGGCAGATTATAACCATTGTAAAAAAATTAAATTCCCACACCCGCCTTCCAGCATTTTGAGTATGTTGTTTTCTATTGCAGCTCCCAATATCCATCCTCTTTTAAAACTAGGGGAAGATTAAAAATAGTTTGGTATATACTATTGCAGTCTGCCACTAAAAGAAAAAAAAATCATATTAAAGTGCTGTTGCCTTTAGGCCTGTATAAACAATATAAATATGAAGCCTCCTTAACTATTGCCTTTTTTTCTTTAAAGGCAAATCTACCTTTTCAACTTTATTTCTATTTCTAAAACAAACATAGTGATTTCAGCTATTACAGTGGAATTGGGGACAGAACCATTTGTCTTTAATTTCACATTATAATGATGGTTATTGCAATATTAGCAGAAATAATACAACTTAAATATTCCAGTATTTAAAATCTTTTTGTAAATGGCAGTTAATTAGAGCACTTTTAATTTTCAGCAGCTATAGAATCTTCCTAGAAAACAAGCCCAATAAGCTGAAAGGAAGCCCACTTTTTGATTAAAGGATCCGTCTGTTTGGTCCTAGCAAGATAGCTTTCTAAGTCTCAAAAAGACTAGAGGCTTGCTTCGAAGTGGGATGTAAACTCAAGAGCATAACTACACTATGATTTGAATTTTCTCATCCTAATTTGCATGTTTGATAGTACAGAACTTACTAAGAGGTAGAATATACTGTAGCTAAAGGAATTTACATCAACATTAAGGTGCCCAAAGGATAATACTGTAGCCGCTTTGCCTATAATTTCAACCTTAATTGTCCACATCCATTGCCTGGGTGTTGTCTACATAGTCCTAAAGATACTCAGTACTTTGTAAATGTTGCAACATATTCATATATTGCTTTTTGTCTAATAGCAGGTTTTTGTGCTTTAAACAGTTGGGTAACCTAAGGGGGGAAAATGTACCCATGATTGTTTTGAAGAAATCAATTGTTGCATCTGGAATGGAAATAATTCCTCAAGAACTGCAGGTGTCGTATAAGTTTAAGTTTCCACATTTGTTTTGCCATTATCTGGGCACAGGTACTGAATGATATACCTATTTATGTCTTTTATTTGGCATCTGTTATGAAACTCAAGAGCTACTTAATTATTTCCTTTCTGAAGAAAAATTGGATGGAAAGTGAAAAGCTAAAGCACAGTTTTGAAGCAGTTATATTACAAAAGTCTCTAAGAAAGAGACATTAAATATTTAGGTTAACAGCCTCATTACTCAATCCTTTTCCTCCATAATTATCTCTATAGTATCATTCTTCACTGGTTAAATATTTTGCTAAATGTTTTATCAAAACCAGTATAATTTTGTTTATTGTATATCTATTCATCTGACAGTAATTTCTGATGGATTTTTTCCACTCCATTGGGTAAATAAGGAATCGTTTTTTTTCTCCAACAAATTTAGTAAGCTGGTCTTGCCACCTAATCCAAGCATCTTCTGGTGCTCCAATGGTTTGATTTTATATTTCAGTATTTATCTTAGCATCTTAAGCACTCAGGAAAAAAAGCTACCATTTACCACCAAATCTGAAAAAGCCTAGCAGTCAATTTTTGATTTAAATAATTGCTAAGGGTGATGGAAAGAAAAGCCAAATCTTCCTGCTGTGGGTAATGCACATATCATGAAGGATGGTAGCTTTAGAATGAACCTCTTTATCAAGAGTTAAGTGGCATGGAAATGTTTCTGAAAAATTGGCTTTAAAGACAATAAGCTTGAAATCTTAAATATTTCATTCCCTATTAAAAAACATTTCTGCCAAGCCTTCTAAACAGTACAATTATGCTAGTTGTCTTTGATTTTGGAGCATTTGCTTCAATGTAAGAAATAATTGTTCTGGCCAGATTAGATGCCTCTAAAATTTTGCATAATCATTTCTTTTTGAATTAAATATTAAAAAAAAACATTCCCAATTGCATAAAATGGGTGAAAAGAGTGACTCAGAACAGCTGTCATTTCTTCTTTCAGATTGCTCTTATTGCTGGTTCCAAAGAAGGAACATTTCTATAACTGAGCTCTTGAATCTGTTGGTTACTTTCTCACATAAACAGTTTGACCTTGAAATAATGGGTCGTCTTTTCCCATTACCAGATGCTCACAAAACCCATCTAGTGTAGGTCTCCCACACTCCTTTTTGGCTGAAAGTCCATCAAAAGTCCATGGTTGAGCTGTTAATATCTTATGCTGTACACTGGAATGAAGAAAGCATTGTATAATGTAGCTAGATAGATAGATAGACAGACAGATAGATACAGACAGACATCACCCATCTAAGTAATGAAGATGGACTTCTCTCACTGAACAGTGAATTTTGTGGTTTTAAATTACATAGTGTATGTATAGAAAGCAGTCAGTTTTCTAAATCTTCCTGTGTGGTGAATCTCCCTCTTTTCATCTACGTATTCTCAGCATGGTGACTCTACGTAGTCATTCTCCAGCCCTCGTCGGAAGCGAGCGGTCAGAGTGCGGCTGATCACGATGACTCTAGGTGCCATGCAGTCTTCCCGTCGATGAAGGATGTTCCATATAAGAATGGCAGCAGCCAATGTGGCCAAGAGACAAGCCC